GGACATCCTGTGTGCCATACATACTGCTGAATTATGGTGACTCAGAATTGAACATCCAAACATGGCCCCTGCCTTCCTGGGCCTTCCAGTTATATAAAGGAAATAATAGTTACAGCATCACAAGCTTCCTGAAAGAGGAAGTAAAGAGCACAGTGGCAGCTATGGGCAGTGGAGGAAGTAGGCAGGGCAATATGTGGCATCCAGTTATAACCAGGGAGATACAGAGGCTGGGAAATTGGCAGGGCCCACATCCACCTTCAGTCCACACGTAGACATTTTTCTTCAAAACGGGACAACGTTTTCCTGTTTTTGTCTTTCATCTTCTTCCACTTGCCCAAATGGGTAATTCAGAGGCTATCTCTGGTTGCTTTTCCCCTTTTCCAGTCTTTAGCTCCCACTTACAGACCCTTTAAAAAGAGTCTTCTTGTTATTCCCCAATAGCATTCTGTGGCTTTCAGGAAGACAGTAATTGCTGATTAAACCAAAGGTCAAAGTCTTAATAACCAAACCAATCCAAAGCAAACCACCAAACCAAACAAAAAAATCGGCCTTCCCATTGATGGACAGTAGAAAAAAGGTGGGCATTTAGAAACACAACGTAAAGTCTATATAAAAGGAAATTTAGTCGATTTTCTATTTAAGAAAAAAAATGTTAACAATTAGAACAAATCTTGCCACAATCTTTAGAAATGGAAACAACCTCCAATAGGGAATTGTGAATAAGTCTCCAAACATTTCAATTAAGTCTTCAAACATTTTTACACATGCACATGAGATGGTATCCACTCTCCTACAAAATTTTCAATTGTCATCTAAAATTTTTCATCGTAAATTTAAGTATTTGCAAAGGAAGCAATTTTCCACATAACATAAAAATTTACATTTTCAAATAAAACAGTCATGCTTTTAAATGAAGCCAATGAAATCTAAATATCATAACAGTTGTGCCTACCATCAACCATTTAAAAAAATATATGAACAAATTCTTCTTTACCTGTAGGATATTTTACTTTTACATAATTTGTTTTCTCTCCACATTTATAATTCAATTCCACATCCCATCCCTCAGGCATATATCTTAATTAATATAGTTTTATGTTTGACTATGTTTTTTGTTTTTGTTTTTGAGACAGTGTCTCACTCTGTTGCCCAGGCTAGTGAAGTGATGTGATCACAGCTCACTGAAGCCTCAACCTCTCAGGCTCAAGCGATCCTCCCACCTCAGTCTCCAAAGTAGCTGGGACTGCAGGCATGTACCTCCATGACTGGCAAATTTTTAATTTTTTTGTAAAGACGGGGTCTCACTCTATTGCCCAGCCTGGTCTCAAACTTCTGAGCTCAAGAAATATTCCTGCCTGGGCCTCCCAAAATGCTGGGATTACAGGCCTGAGCCACCATGCCTAGCTAAATGTGTTTTATGAATCACTCTATTATATTTCACTGCAATGAAAATACATATAAAGGCCGGGTGCAGTGGCTCACAACCATTATCCCAGCACTCTGGGAGGCCAAGGTGGGCAGATCATCTGAGGTTAGGAGTTCAAGACCAGCCTGGCGAACACGGTGAAACCCCATCTCTACTAAAAAATACAAAAATTAGCTGGGTGTGGTGGCAGGCACCTGTAATACCAGCTACTCTAAAGGCTGAGGCAGGGAGAATAGCTTGAACCTGGGAGGCAGAGTTTGCAGTGAGCCATGATTGTGTCATTGCAGTCCAGCCTGCATGACAAGAGGGAAAACTCCATCTCAAAATATATGTATATATAAAATACATATAAGTCGAAATTTTAAGTTTCTTATGACTAGTGATTGTAAGTTATTTTCTTCTAGAATGCGGCATTGCTGTATTTATGAGCAATTCTCAAGTGTTCAAAACAATATAAAATATAATTTTTTATTATTAAACATGATGTTTTACAATTAAGTACACACATTTATTGTTAAATACTACTTCTTATTAGAATGAGACAGAGTTCAGATTCAATGTTTTCTCAATTTTTCATTTTTATAAATTCTGAGAAAATATTTTCACATTAATAAGTAGATGGAGGCTGGGTTTGGTGGCACACACCTGTAGTCCCAGTACTTTGGGAGGTGGAGGCAGGTGGATCACTTGAGCTCAGAAGTTCAACACCAGTCTAGGCAACATGGTGAAATGCTGTCTTTACAAAAAAAAAATTTGCCAGGTGTGGTGGCGCATGCCTATTTTCCCAGCTACTTGGGAGGCTGAGATGGGAGGATCACTTGAACCCAGGAAGTTGAGGCTACAGTGAGCTGAGATTGTGTCACTGTACTCGAACCTGGGCAACAGAAGACACCCTATCTCAAAAAAAAAAAAGTAGTTGGGTCTATAAGGAGTTTTGTCATTATATCAATGTCACTTAATTCTTTAAACTCCTTCTAATTGATATCAGTGATCTTTAGGTCATACTTTGTTCAAAGAGATTATTTGGAAATCATCTGACTTGCAAAAGAATTTATTACCCAGTCATTAGAAGTATACATTCTCTAAACAGCCCAGTGTTTTAAATTTATAACGAACTGGCAAAGATAGCTGAGGTTTTTACAACCCAGAACAATGCCTGTAAGATTCTCAAATGTCTTTTTTTTTACAAATGGGAAATATACAGCTATTATGAAAGAGTTTGGAAAGGAGACACCTTGACCATACTCCTTTACCGGCAGATCAATTTTAGGAAATAACATAGGTGTAAATCAAAGATTGGGAAACTGATAGCCTTTTTTTTTGACAGAGTTTCTTTCTGTGGCTCAGGCTGGAGCACAGTGGTGTGATGATGGCTCATAGCCTTGACCTCCGCAGCTCAGCTCAGGTGATTCTGCCACCTCAGCTTCCTGCGTGGCATGCCTAATTTCGTGTGTGTGTGTGTGTGTGTGTGTGTGTGTGTGTGTGTGTATGTATGTGTAGAGTTGGGGTTTTACCATGTTGTCCAGGCTGGTCTCAAACTCTCAGGTTTAACAATCCTCCAGCCTTAGCCTCCCAAAGTTCTGGGATTATTGGCATGAGCCACAGCAGGAAGTGGTAGCCTTTAAGCTAAGTGTCGATTTATCCCTTAACAATCCCACAGGGGATGCAGAGCTCAGTTTGAAGATGGCTGATGTGAATGTTTATATCTTATTGAATTAGATGAGAGAGACAAGTCAGTTCAGGTTAGGCCTTGGTTGGAACATTGTACACTAGTATCTGTACCCTGGAAGAGTATAGAACTGTGACTTATATGCTAGGAATAAAATAGCCAGTCCTCTTGGTTGGTTAATTTCTGTGGATGGTCAATCTTAGGCTTTATACTTTATTCTTTTATATTTTCTTCTCAGTGGCAATCACTTCAGTTTTGGGAATCTGATGTTGAGTGTAGTCTGATACTGACCACCTAAGGAAGTACTATGCTATACTTAAAAATGATTGACTGTAAAAACATAAGAAATGTTTAGAGTATAAAAGCAAAATATATAGTTAGTTGTATGAAAATTATTTCAATTATGCAAAACTACATAAACTTCTGGACAATACTATATGAAAATGAAGTTATAATTTTTAAATAAATGTTTTTAGTGTTACATGGCTTCTAACATAACGTTATTGATTACATTTATGATGCCGAGGTCAGACTGTCTACTGTAATATTCTCTTGCTCCTAGTGGTACTAAGGAATTATGTGAGCTTAAGTTCCCTCAAACAAAGTGACTGAAGGTCCACTTCAAGAGGTTGAAGGTCCATTTTCAAAAATTCTATTTTCTCATCAGGATTCATTATGGGTGTTATTCCCCAAACACATTTAAACATTTCATCCTAGTTTAATACAACCTAGGTCTTAGCATCACAAATTCCAGAGGTTGATCAGCTGCTGTATGAAGTAGTAATTCTTTTCATTCATATATATAAAACCTTTTTAGCTTTCTTTTATTTCCCAATTTTATTATTCAGAGCTGTCAATGTAAAGAACTTGACTTTACATTGCTCTTAGGGTTTACCATTCCTCATAGCCTTTATAGATTTAGAGACTACTTTAAAAAGAGAGTGAGGTTTGGCAGATTCTAAAACTAATCTCACTTTTTGAAATTTCGGTCTCCTCCGTGTGTTCTGAGAAGTAATTACGAGCTTGGTAATTTCCAGGGCCAACTAAAGGAAGGACAGAAGACTAATCTGAGGGCCTTCACGTGTGTGAGGATAATACTGGTCCCCACCCAAATTTGAATTTTAGCTCCCATGATTCCCACGTGTTGTGAGAGGGACCTATTGGGAGATAATTCAATCAAGAAGGCGGTTCCCCCATGCTGCTCTCATGGTAGTGAATAAGACTCATGAGATCTGATTTTTTTATAAAGGGTTTCCCTTTTCGCTAGGCTCTGATTTTTTTTTCTTGCCTGCTGCCATGTAAGACGTGGTGCCTTTCCCCTTCTGGCATGATTGTGAGGCCTCCCCTCTCCAGCCACGTGGAACTCTGAGTCTATTAAAGCGTTTTTTCTTTATAAATTACCCAGTCTCGGGTGTCTTTATCTGCAGCGTGAAAACGGACTAATAAACTACCCTTCTGGGGTCTCTGAGATGGAACCGAAAGATTCCCTAAAGGAGTACCCCGAAAACTGGAGAGGAGAGGAGCCAGCGAGATCTCAGAACTCGATCTGCCTCGAGGGACTTTGATGGGCACAGATCCGCCCCCTCGCAGCGCCCCGCCCCCTGGCACGCTGCACGCAGGCACGTCCTTCCAGCAGCTCGCGGCCCCGCCCCCATCTCCCCGCCCCGGTCATGACGCCCCGCCCCGCCCCTAGGCGGTTGCTGGCAGCGGCTGCCTCCCTCCTACTGCCCAATAGCGCGGCTGCAGTCTGTGATGTGAAGCTCTGCTCAGGCTTGTCCGGCCCCCGGCTCCCAGCCCATTACACCATCCGTCGCAGCAGCCGCTGCAGCCCGAGCCGACTTAGAGGGCGGGAGGCAGCTCGGGTGGCGGGGCGGGGCGAACAGCTCGGCTGGATTCATTCCTGTGGGGCGCGGGGCATGGAGGAGCTTTTCGGCCGCAGGCAGAGCAGGGCGACCCAGGCGGCGGCGGGGACAACGGTTTCCCTTTGAAGGGGACGGCCTGAGCCCGAGTGACCATCGCCGGCGGGGAGGACTAGCCCCCGGGCAGGTAGTGGCGGCGGCGGCGGCTGCCAGGGCTCGGGCCGGAGAGCTGAGGTGCTCGCGGAAGGCCTGGGCGGGAAGGAGGGCGCTGGGAAAGCCGAAGGCGGGCAGCGGGCTGGAGGCCACAGGCTTGGCCCGTCGGGAGCGGGTTGTAGTCGATGAAGGAGATTGGGGAGGGGGCTGCCGTTGTTTGGAATAGGGAGAGGGGAATGTTGTTGGGTGACTGTGGTTTGAGGAACCTGCGATCATCTCTTGGCGGGGGGTTGGGGTGATCAAAATGGGGCGGGCGAAGTTAATGACTAAAAGGCAGGCGGATTTCCTGAGAGCCGTGAGTAGTTTTAAAGGAAAGAGAATTTTGCGAGGTGGTGTTTTGGCCTTAGCCAAGGTTTGGTGTGTCCGACCTTTTTGTTCCTTCTCGAAACCGGCCTCAGTGAGGCCTTCTAGCCTGGCGCCCTTGGCCAGCTCGCCTGCAGATGCAAGAAAGAGAAACATTTCTGAACCCGAGTCTCCTGCCTCTTTCGGTTGTACTCTCCCTGGGCGTGTGCAAAGCCAAACTAGAACAAAGCTTGGCTGATTAGAGCTGGAGGCGAGAAAACGGGCTGCCTGTAGTGTTTAAATTTTCCGCACATGGAGGAGACTGCCTGCCACCAAAACATTTGGGTCTCTGTGTACCCTTCTGTATTTTTCTTTACAACCTTTTCTTTGGGGGTAGGGGGCCGTGGGACGGAGTAGTGCCTGAAGTTTAGCTTTTATTCCTTTCTTCGCACAGAAGTGGAATTAAGAAGTGTTTTGCCTTTACCTATAGAAAATTAAAAGCTGCTATTTTTTTTTCTTTCTCTAGTTTGGTGCCGTTTGTCAGATGTTGGAAGGCAGTAGGACGGAACATACTCTTCGTGGTTGTATATCCCCTCTAGGGTGCAGCAATTAATATTGAACTTTGGTTCCTGTGACTCTTGCCTGTGTCGATAGAGTTAAGCTGGAGCTCTGCTTTGAAAGATAAATAAAGCACAGCGTCTCAATTGGACATAAATGGATCTAAAGACAGCAGTATTTAACGCAGCTCGGGATGGCAAACTCCGGCTTCTCACCAAATTGTTGGCAAGCAAATCCAAAGAGGAGGTTTCCTCCTTGATCTCTGAAAAAACAAATGGGGCCACACCACTCCTGATGGCCGCCAGGTATGGGCACCTTGACATGGTGGAATTCCTCCTAGAGCAGTGCAGTGCCTCCATAGAAGTTGGGGGCTCCGTCAATTTTGATGGCGAAACCATTGAGGGGGCTCCCCCTTTATGGGCCGCTTCTGCAGCAGGACATCTGAAAGTGGTCCAGTCTTTGTTAAATCATGGAGCATCTGTCAACAACACGACTTTAACCAATTCAACTCCTCTTCGAGCTGCGTGTTTCGATGGCCATTTGGAAATAGTGAAGTACCTTGTAGAACACAAAGCTGATTTGGAAGTGTCAAACCGACATGGGCATACGTGCTTGATGATTTCATGTTACAAAGGACATAAAGAGATTGCTCAGTATTTACTTGAAAAGGGGGCAGATGTTAATAGAAAAAGTGTTAAAGGTGAGTTCAGCTTCTTTGTTTTTCTAAGTGTCTACCCCTTGTTTTCAGGAAGTTTGATACATAATTATAAGCATTGGTGTTGAGTAAACCAACATTTGACAGACCTTGTTTTGATTAGGTAAGTCTTCCAGTCTGACTTTGTTGGGTGTTTCTCTGATGTTTGGTAATACATTGAAAAAGTGTGATAAAAGACTTCTGTTACTCTGTTAAGTAGTATTTTCTCTCATTTGGAGTGACTTAAAATTCTTGGAAAATGGGCTCCCCAAAGTTACAGAGCATGTTAATGGTATTTGAGCTGAGTCTTTAGGTTTTTATTTAATCTACATTAATCTACATAGGAATATGGTTAAGTGTAATACATTTTTCTTAGTTTTTTTTTTTTTTTAGAACAACCTTGGAGTAGAAACTACTATATTTATTAAGTCATGGTCTTGTTTGTTCTAGGTAGTTATTTCACTTATTCTGTCAGAGGAGGCTAGTCCAAACTGACCTGGAAGGATTAATATCAGTGGAAAAGGAAAAAAACTGTTCCCTTATTCCATATTTGTTGTCAATAGATAATCCTTTTATAAGAACATGCATTAAATATAGCAAGAGAGAAAACACATTAAAAACTGCTTCAGTACTGAGAGTGCAAAACAAGAACTAGTTTAAACAGATGTGGATTTGTTGGCTAGCAACAGTGTAAACACCTTTGTCCAGAAAAAGGGCTCCAGTTTACAATTGTGTATAATTTTTGTTGATTGTAATAATCTAAAAGTACCAAAAGATAGTTTAGAATTTTTCTTAACCCTTAAAAGCAACTGTCTTCATAGCACAATTTTGATACTTGAAAACCTTATCTTTCCTTAAACAAATCTATTTATACAATAGCAAAAAAATTACTACCTAATTTTTAAAAGCTATTAAAATTTAAAAGTAGCATATAGACATGTTAAAAAAAACTGTAAATTGGTTTACAATAAAAAGTCTTATTCCTGATTTCTAGATCTCTAATGTGCTGACAACCACTATTTACAATTTATATGTGTCCTTTTAGAGCTGATCTATGGAAATACAAGCAATCTTGTCTATATACAAGCATACTTGTTTGTGTAGCCCTCTGTCTAGTGGTTGATTACATACTGTTCTGTCTTTATTTATTTTTCTAACTTTGGATGTCATTCAACTTCAACACATATAGCTACCTCATTCTGTTTCATGGTGATACAGTATTTCATTGTATGAATGTACATAATTTATCTAGTCTCTACTGGTCAATACTTAGGTCACATCCAGTAATTTGCTAATATAAACAATGCTACTATGAACATTCTTGAACAAAAATGTGTCTTTGCACACTTGTATGAGAATAATTGTAGTATAAATACCTGTGTTTAGAATTGCTGAATCAAAGTGAGTATACATTTGCAATTGTGATAGTGTCTGCCTTTCAGAAAGGTCAAACCACACAATTATGGGGCACTATGTAGTTACTGAGGATATTTACTGTATATAGTATGATCTTTTTAAAAAAGATTTGTTATAAAAATGATACAAAATCATTGTGATTTTTCTGAATTTTTTTTTCCAGAGGAAGTGTAAAAATCCCACAAAATTCCAGTACTCAGGGATAATAATACTTCCAAAGATATTTCTGAATTTTGCATACAGATATATGTATGCAGTTTTATATGCTGTTCTATAACCTGTTTTTTAGCTTAATAAATATTTAATATTACTAATTATAGCTCTTTAATTTCAGTAGCTGCATACTCTTCTGCTAATGGAGTTTTATGTTGCTTCCAGTTTTTAGTATGATAAAGAAAAGTTTCTGTAAACATTCTTTCTAATAAGTGTTTTCATTTGTTCCTGATTATCTTTAGGTGGCTTGGTAGATCAAATGATGGCATTTTTTTTTTCTCCAAACAATTATCATTCTCTTGAAGAATGCTTGTTTTAAGAGAACAAACTACTGCTGAACTAACCATGTTAATATTGGGAATGGTTTGAAATCATGACTGCTTGTTTAGGTTTGTTGAATTTTTTTGTTTCTTTGTTTTGGACTTTTTACTCATCAGCTTGATGTAAAGATTATTGATAAATTTATATTTAAGTCAAATTGGGGTATGTTTTAAACTCTTATGTCATTGGAGAGATGAGAACTGGTATTACTTCCCTTATATTTTTCAAAGCTTCTTTATATACTCCTGGAGATATATGAGAGAACTCTAATATAAATAGCTCATATTTTTTCAGCATTTTCTCCTGAGAAGCCACAAACAGTATTTAACTTGATTACTTTTGAGCTCTTTCAGACAAATGTTCCCTTTATCACCACTGTCATCTTATAGTCTTATATGGGAGGGTATGTATGTTCTTACTTTTGGTCAAACTATTCTAAGTCATTTTTTCCCCCAGTATCAATATCTAATATGTATATCTTTAAAAAACTACATGAACATGAGAAAACAGTTTCATTCCAAAAATTGTTTTCTAATAACTTCAACTGTATGCACATACATGTAGATATTGTCACTTTATGTGCAGAATTTTTACGTTTTCATGGTACCTTTTAATTTCCATAGTGATTCTTCATGAATGTTGGGGGCAGATTAAAGTACTTGTGCATCCTCCTCCACTCTGATCCCACAGCTTCAATACTTATTCTCTCATTGGTTCTGGATTTTTTTTCTATGGGTTAATGGTAATAAAAGCAGGAACCAGTTGAAACTGAGTCAGGGACACTGGAGAAGGATGTGATATAGCAGCAAGAGAGGATTTTTCCCCACATTTTTAGCCCCATCCAAAAAGTAAAAAAGACTAATAAGACTGGAGATAAAATAGAATAATTTCTTAGGAAGTTTTGTGTGTCATTCTTGGAAATGGTTCTGATGAAAGAAAACGCCAATACATTGTGTTTGGTCTGCTTAAAGATAAAACGCATGTCACTTCTACGTTCCATTACTTTTAAACAGGCAGTTGATACTTGAACATATTATTTAACCTCTTTTCATTACTTTTTAACAGGCTACTGGCATTTTGAACATGTTTTAACCTAAGGTAGAATTTACTAAATGAGAGAGCAATTGTTGCGTCCCTCAGTGTGCCAGGCTGTTAGGATGTACAAAGAGGAATAAGACAAGATATCCAATCCTTGATTCCCTGCTCTTGAGGAGCTCATGGTTTGATTGGAGAGACAGGTTCATAAGCAGATACTTAAACCACAGTATGGTAAGTGCAACAGTAGTGCTTTCTTCTATTAGATATTTGGAAATACTTTATCCTCAACAATTTTTAACCTGAGGGGACAATGAGTTTCTTCTTTTCCAAAGACATTCCAAAAGGGAAAATATCTTTGAGATATTTAAGAATACTTCTTCAGTTTAACAGTCACAACAGTTGATTTTTGAGACAGGAGTTGGTTCTTATTCAGGACTCTAGACTGCGAATCAGAAGTGATTAGGTGAGTCCTTCTCAGACCCATCACAATGATCTCAGTGCTTTGTGGTTATATTCATCTTTGGCTTCCTTTGGTTCTTCTGTTTGTGTTTTGGTGTTGTTTTGTTTTTGTTTGGAGTTAGAATAGACCTTTGCAGATCCAAAGTGAAGTCTTCTTGAATTCCACTTTTACACCCTAATTCAAATGGAAATTGGGCAGCTAAAGGTTCTTGATTCAGTACTACAGACCAGTAGAAAACTCTGTAGGCTCAAGATTTGGAGACTGGCTCTAGAAGACATTCTGTCCTCATTCGTGGGTCAGTCAGTTTAGATACTCAAAGTAATTAGGTAAATTGGTAATAAGGTAATTAACATGCACGTTCTGTAGGCAAGGCATTGTGTTGGACATTTTGGAGATTAGATGATACAAGGTGTCACATTTTTATCTTGTGAAGGAGTAGTATAAGCAATCTATGTTATAGAATTTTGAGCAAGTGTACTGACTAGGATTGCTTCATGGAGAATGTAGAAGTTAAACAGGGCCTTGAATTTTGGTGTTTAGATCTACAGACAGGTTGGGGTTTAGATCTGAAGAAAGTTTGTTGGGGTATAGATCTGCAGAAGAGTTTTGGTAGTTTTGCAGGTTTAGGAAATAGCATAAGGAAAGGCACATTGAAGAATATGCTTGGAGGGTCCAGGAATTGGAAAGTAGGCATAGTTGGACTAAAAGGCACTCAGGGCTGGATTTTAAAGGACATTGAATCTCAGTAAAGGAGCTGGATTTTATTCTTCATGCCAGCAATTCAGCAGAGTACTAACTGGAGTGGCTTGTTTGTTTGCTTATTTATTTTCAGAGAAACTTACGTAACTGCATTTTACTACATCACTGTGACATCTAACTGCAATCTACTACATAGTATTTGAGGCTAAAGACCTGGTGTTTTCATTCCATATACTAGGAAGAGTGGTGCTAAATGAGCTTGTTGAGTGGACATGTTGGATTTGAGAGAGGAAAGATTATAAACTCCTTGTTGGCAAGCACTGTGTTTTATAGGCCTTTCTGTATGGAAAGAAATACATGCATGAAGACTTGAAGTAACAAAGACAGTAGCTGACAAAAGTGACTGGCACAAGTAGAACTCTGTAGGGGTTCAGAAAAGGGAAAAATCCATGTAGGCATGTAGCAAGGATAGCTAGCATTCAAAGGGTTTGAGAGCTAGTTCAGACAGTTTGCCTTTTCATTAAGGAAACTTTCTAAATTTCACACACAGAGAAACTACATTGAACTGCTATGTATCCATCATTTTACTTCAACAATTATCCATTTGCTAAAGTTAAAAAAAGGTTTCTACTTTTCTTTTGTTTTCTGTAGAAGTTTAAAGCAAATTTAATTCCCCACTGTAAATGTACAAGAATCTCAAATGAGAAAATCTCCCTTGTAAACGAAAAACTGTTGGTATTCAGATAGATTAAGATAATGATTGCTGTCATGGTAGATAGGTTATTTTAGTATACTTTAGTACTGTCTGAGTGTCAGAAACTAAAGTTTTCATTTCCTTCTTGACTCTTCTCAGCTGTTG